GTCCTGCACATTTAACGTGCATCATCGAATCGCAGAGCCAGTAAAAAATAAAAGGGTCTTTAGTTGAAGACGCAAGAGTACAATTTTTCTTAGAACAGACAAAAGCCATTGTAAGTTTAAAGCAAATAAAGAAATAAGATATGAAAAAAACATCAAAGTAAATTTGATCACGAAATTAAATCGAATAAAGAGAGCACGAGAGAATAAATCTTATATCGACTGAGCGTGGCATGTGCGGCACAACAACTTTAAGCGTAAACAAATGCAATGTAAAGCAAGCAAGAGAGAGAGTTAGAGTTAGAGAAATAGCACCGAAAAAGTCTACCAGAAGTTCAGCAGGTTCATAGAGAGTAAATTAAAGCTATAAAATAGAGCGGGAGAGATTGAGAGGAAGTAAAAGAGTTCTAGCAAGTATAGAGAGCGTAAATTACACTAACAAAGCTACGAGATTAAACAAATCTAATAGAAATGTTAAAATAACTATAAACACATACCCGTTTACTGGGAGATCTATTTAAAATTTCTAACACAGATATTAGGTTAAGCTTTGTAAATAAATGAACACAAAACACTCGCACAAAATCACTGACAAAATACAAAAACTCAGAGCACAAAAGTAAACACAACTGTTCACAAGCGACACTAAATCGATTTGACGATCTTCGATCTTCCATCAATTATAAGTCATTCTCGCCTACTTATATACGCAGATGATGTTAAGTTATGCCTGCAATATAAGGATATTTCCTGCCATTTAGACATACAATCCGATCTAGATATATTTCAAAACTGACGCCGAGATAATTTACTAAATTTAAACAGTTCCAAGTGCAAGCTAATGACTTTTTATCGGGCCAATCTGATATACGCGACTTACACGTTAATAATTGAGCTGATTTTTTCCGAATTTTGGCCAAAGGATTTTTTATAAGGGTAGGGTCATGATTTTTTTTTTGAAAATTGTGTTTTAATTATATTAATGGGACAAGGACACAAACTGGGGATCTGGCATGACGAGCATGAAGCTTAACCACGTTTCCCCTGACAGACAGTCCGATTTAATTGACTTCGCAATTACTAAAAACATTCCTGGAGTATGATTAGTGCCGAAAGTCTTGGGGATCTTTCATCTGATCACTCGCCTATGCTGATTAATCTAATCCGTCATCCAATAACCGAAGATCAAGCGACTGGATTGGCTTCACATAAATCCAATTGGATCTTGTATAGAAAATATTTAAGCTCGCACATTGAGCTAAATTCTGTAATCAACCTTAAAGATGACATCGACAACTTTTTCAGCACAATGGAGTCCGCCTTTTTCAGCGGTGCTCGCTTTTCAACTCCTCAAACTGGACAAGCGCCTTACATGCAAAAGAAGACAAGTCAACAAATCGAGCAGCTCGTACTCAAAAAGCGACGTCTACGACAGGAATGGCAATACCGTACTTAGACATTTGCACGGCAAAGGTTAAAAGACGTCTTCCGCAAACTCACCAAAGTGTTAAAGCAACAAGAAGCAAATACCCAACAAAGCAAAGCACTTTTTGTGGAGAGCTATATTTTCACCAACAGAAACAGTGGCGCCTATTAGAAACGCGGTAGGCGGCTGGCCCCGCAGTGATAAAGGCAGCGCCAGAACATTTGCAGAAATGCGAGCTGACTCGGATAAATTATTTTCTAGGAATCCTTCCTAGCATAACTTTTGAAAACGAAGCGCATTCGAAAATCGAGAATATTGCACTGCAATTTTTTTAGATGTAGCCCAAGCATTCGATAGAGTTTGGTTAGAAGGTCTATTGCATAAGATCATAGCAACGCTTTCTAATAATACACACAAACCATTAGAATCTTACCTATACGACTTAAACCTATCCGGACCTATGGCTCCCACTTATGGGCGAACGCTAGCAGTAGCAATATTTATGTTGTCCAGCGAGCTTAATCGGAGATCCTGAGAACCATCACCGGGGCACCGTGGCACGTTCGCAAGGAAAGGATATAGAAAGACTTCAATACTCAATCAATCGGAGATAGCTGACCAGAAAGAGAAATACAGCAAGCTTTCCTCGCAGCCTAATCCCCTCGCGCAAGGGCTAACACGGTTGTGCAGTCGCTCCCGTCTGCGTCGTAATGATCTACCCAAAATAGTTCAATTGAATTGTTAGTTAATGTTCAGTGATAAGATTTTAGAACTGATTGTTAGTCTCAACTTAGGAAAAAATCCAATTAAATAATGCAAAGTCTTTAAAAAACAAGAAGGGAAAGCTAACTTAGGGCGGAGCCGAAGTTGATATACCCTTGCAGAATATTCTGTAAATTATATTCTCCAAAATTATTCATATGATGCATTCTTAATACTCATAAAAACTTCCTAACTTTAAAAACTCCAAAGTTATGGCATTTCCAATCGTTCAGTTATATGGCAGCTATAGGATATAGTCGGCCGATGCTTATGAAATTTGGTAGGTCGGATTGATTGGCCAAATATAAAACCCATAGAAAATCCCAACAACTTTACAAACACGAAAGTTATGGCATTTCCGATCAATCAGTTATATGGCAGCTATAGGATATAGTCGGCCGATCCCGGCCATTCCGACTTATATACTGCGTGCAAAGGAAAGAAGGGTGTGTTCAAAGTTTCAATTCGATTGCTTTAAAACTGAGAGACTAGTTTGCGTAAAAACAGACAGTCGGACAGACAGACGGACAGACAGACATGGCTATATCAACTCAGGAGGTGATCCTGATCAAGAATATATATACTTTATAGGGTCGGAGATGTCTCCTTCACTGCGTTGCACACTTTTGACCATAATTATAATACCCTCTGCAAGGGTATAAAAATGTGCTTAGCGTGTGACAATTTAGGCAGTTATTAAAAAATATATATCAGAAACTTATATGAAAATGAACAACTCATTTTGTGTATTGTTTCTTATGAGGATGCAATTTTATCTATTTAATTTAAATTTTTTCATAATTTTAAGCTTATGGTAAAATTGTTAGGCCAACATAAACATGGACGACAGCAAAACAAGAAACGCACTAAAAAGTGCCTAACTTTATTCGCGGTTTACTGAGTAAGTTTTTATATATTATTTTATTTTATGATCATTTTATCAGCAGATAAAGTTCTCAATAAGGACATGCGGCGTGTTAAATACCTGCACGCCATCTAAAAGAAGATGCCCAAGAGCACTGAAACCTCAAACATCCCCAACACCCCCGACACAACTAAAAACTTCAATTTAATTAATGTTAAGATTTAGAATTAAAATTAAGATTATAATAAAATAAATTTATGAAATGATGTGTTTATTTAAACGCTATTAGCTCATGATGAAATCGAAATATTATTTACTGAAGAAAATGTGATGAATTGCTGATTAAAATGCGATGAATTACTAATGAAAATCTGATTAAATGCTAATTAAAATATGATGAATTACTGATTAAAATGTGATGAATTACTGATTAAAATACTGATAAAAATGTGATGAGTTAAAGGAGACATTTTCGACCCTACAAAGTATATATATTCTTGATCAGTATCACCAGCAGAGTCGATCTAGCCATGTCCGTCTGTCCGTCTGTCCTTCCGTCTGTTCGTTTTTACGCAAACTAATCCCTCAGTTTTAAAGATATCTGCTTGAAACTTTCCCAAAAGTATTGCAGGCAGTATGCGGAACAAGCCGGATCGGTCGACTATATCATATAGCTCCCATAGGAACAATTGGAAAAAACAATTCAAACAAATTATAACTTTGTTGTTAATTTTTTTTTGTTGATCTTTGGGATTTGGTAATATTTAAATATTATGGAATTACATTTTTAATTAAATTAAAATCGGACAACTTTATCATATAGCTGCCATAGAAACGATGGCAAAATGCAGCGCAAAATCGACATAGCTTCATTGTTTTTAGTAATATAGGCATAGAAATCGAAATGTAGTCGATTTGTAATAACTGCAAGGGTATATAAACTTCGGCTATGAGTACATTTATATGTTTGCTAAATATCCTCCATGCTGCATCTGCTCTTAAAGCTAACGAAATGGGAACTTCAACTTCGGTCAAACGCTGTGTCAGCATGTTGGCCGGTGTACATCTCGGACCTTCGGTCAATGCCTATCGTCCGTTTGACTTAGTTATCTTACATACCCAGAATTTGATGGTCGCATTGCTGCCGACACTTTGTTCAAAAAACTATTCAAAAAAAAAAGATTTTGACACTCTTTGCAAAAAAACATTTTTTTTTGCTTACTTCTGTAAGTGGAGTAGCTCTGGTTGTGCTTTTTGTTGAGACTACCAGGTAATAGAGATTATACCACAAAGAAACATTCCATGTTTAAGTGAGCCAGGCTAAGGCTGTTATCCATCATATCCTTATCCAAGCTATCTCCCGATTTATCTATAACACAGATTTTCCGAACCCTTTGATGCTTTGGAGTCCATGGTAATGCTAATCATCCAAAAGGGATCAGACCAGGCACGCGGATGGGTTCTTCTTGTTTACCGCGCTCGCCGATAGTGGAATTATGGCGGTTCATATTATTTTCTTGTGCCAAAGTGCCCGATAGGTGTACTAGCGAATCAAGAAATCAATTAATTAAAACCGAAGTTATGTCTTTAATGGGTCTGTTGTATGGGCAATAGAAGAACTAAAAACTATAATACATAGAAACAGTAAAACATAAGGATAGCTAGTTTGGTAGGTAAAAATTGTTACGTGTTAGAAATTGTTGCACGAATTCGATATACTCTTATATTACACGAGTAATTGTAAGGTAAGGTCGGTGGTATTGAATTTTATACAAGCATTTTTCTAAATTTTATTAAAAGATGGCTCAGGCATGAAAAAAGACGTTCTGCATTCATCTAATCCTTTTTGCAGTGATAACAGCTGCAGGACACAGCACTTTTAAAGGTGAAGTTCCGAATACCTTCTATACATAATACGCGACGTTGTATCTGAAAAGGTTACTAGGCATTAATTTAAAAGAAGAAGATCTTAACGGCAAGCAAACCTCTTCTGACTTCATCATATTGCAGCATTGTCCAACACTTATTACTGGCTTTGGTGGTTTGAATATAACAGCTAGCGATAAACCTGTCCAGGGAACCGAGGGCACTGAATATGACTCGCAGAATCCGCGGCACGCATTGGTTGTTATGGTGAATTCAACGCAGTCGGGAATAGAAATCTTTCTTGTATTTCCAACTTTGTGGCAGCCAGGACGTAGCCAGGCGTCCTTACCCACCGAGCTACTTCCGCCAAGCACAAACCAGAGGGAACAGCAAAAAAGAACCAATAATTTGTCCGACCCCATCATGACAACTGCTGAGATTTGCCATATGTCCTTCTGCCTTTTATACAGACATAGAATCTTGACGCCTGCGCAAACAAAAAATAGTGATTAGAGCATTGATAGGGTTGGAGGAAAGGAAAAGATATTTTTTAAATATTCATGAGCCATAAAAATTCATGAAGGCCTGAATCCTTACTCAAGACAGCTGAAACTAACTTATAAAGCAAACCATTAAAGATAAACATTTTGAATGAATGTTTAAATATTTTAAATTTTCACTATTGCAAAAATGAACAAATCAGAACCATCAAGTTGCCTGTTAAGGATCGAAATTAGAAGTAACTTGCAAATAAGCTTACCAAAACTATAATTTCCTCCTGAATAAGAAGACAGATTTTTGTAAAAAAAAAGTTGATCATATGATCAAATTGTATTAGGAAAAAACCAAATCCCCCTGTTAAGAAATAAAAATGATTGTATAATGCTTAAGAGCCTTTCTGTGGACGGCCGTCTACGTACGAACGAAGCGCACCGAAACTTTGCGGAAAGGTTCTACGCTCCTGTCCAAAATTATACGACACCCCGACGATTTTTGATTCGACCATCGTAAGAGAAGAGGAAAGCAGGTTACAACAAAATCAAGTATATTGAATGGAATTCTGCTTTAAATGTTCTTATCTCTTATCGCATCTCGCGTTTTCAAGTAGCTGTAAAAAAGAGCACAAGATTTTGGTTTTTGTTATGTCTTGAAAGTTCAAAACAAATTTTGTTTGTATTTTGGTTTACAATTTAATTAATTTATAATAAAATGCCGCGTTGAAGATTGTTATCCAGGGATGAAGAGGGAAGGATAAAAGCCTACAACGATGATGGCTTTAATGTTAGACAAACAAAATTAATATTAGACAAAATAACGCAGAAAATCAGTCGTTTTGTTATCACCAAATTTTTGACCAATCCGGATAAATATGGTGAGAAGCGAAGTTCTGGTAGAAAACCCAAGATGTCTGACAGCGATAAAAGTCACATAATGTCAAAAGCTAGCAATTCCTTGGTATTGAGCTCCACACTTGCCGCCAGTTGTAGTAAGTCTGTGTCACGCCTTTTTGGCAGACGCTGCAATCATCTGAGTCCATTGTCAGAGTAGTCTTAAAAAAGAGTACGTTCTTCAAGCCGCGCCAAAAAAAAAACAATTTCAATTTTAGAAAAAATTGAATTTTAACTTTATTTTTTGTTTTTAAATTTTGGAAAGATAATATATTAATTCACAAGAGCAGAGAGACCCAGCGCTTTTTAATTGGATTGGCCAGCGTGCTTCCCTGACCAAAACCTAGTTGAAAACATATGGGGTATCCAGGCGACTATATGCGAATTGTTATTGTAATTTATATAGTAATTTGAGAATGTACAAAGCCTCAAAATCGTAATTTTGGCTCAATGGTCTCTATTAGACCAAAATTTAATTAAAAACGAGGACGGAAGCTAACTTCGGCAAGCCGAAGTTTTAATACCCTTGCAGACTTTGCCGAAATTGCTAAAAGTGAAAAAGTAGTGAAAGGAATAAGGTATACATAAGTAAACTAGATTTGCATCGTTTCAAGTTAATTGCTTTTATACTGCAAAAATGTCATATACAAATAGAAAAAAAGGGATACTTTCGCAGCCTTAAAATTAATTAATTAATTTTTCCTATCTCCTTTAAGATATAGACTTCCGAGCGGCAAGCGCTTTTACCCTAATCAAGATATGCGTAAATAAATAAGAATTGAAAAAAATTTATGATAGTAGCTTACACACTTCGCGAAATATTCTGATAATCATCAAATTTGGACCGATTTCACCCTATTGTTCCTATGGGGGCTATAGGATATAGACGTCCGATCGGCACGCGCCTTCACCTTGATCAATGTATGCATAAAAAAATACAATTTGGAAAGATTCATGTCAATAGCTTGTATACTGCGCGAAATATCCTAAAAATCATTAAATATTAACCGATTTTACCCTCTTGTTCCTATGGGAGCTATAGGATATAGACCAATATAGTCCAATCGCCACGCGCTTTTACCCTGATCAAGGTATAGCTTGTATACTGCGCGAAATATCCTAAAAATCATTAAATTTTAACCGATTTTACCCTTTTGTTCCTATGGGAGCTATAGGATATAGACGTCCGATCGTCACGCGCTTTTACCCTGATCAAGGTACGCATAAAAAAATACGATTTGGAAAGATTTATGTCAATAGCTTTTACACTGCGAGAAATATCTTCCATTCTTGCAAGTTATATCCGATTGTTCCTATGGGAGCTATAGGATATAGACATCCGATCGGGGCGGTTTTCAAACTTGATCTGCGTACACTTGTTTTAGGACGAGTGTGAAAGTTTCAGATCGCTAGCTTTTAAACTGAGCTCGCAAACGGTATTGAAACAGACGGACAGACGGTCAGACGGACAGACGGACGGACGGACAGACGGACAGACGGACATGGCTATATCGACTCCCCTATTGAATTCAACGCAGTCGGGAATAGAAATCTTTCTTGTATTTCCAACTTTGTGGCAGCCAGGACGTAGCCAGGCGTCCTTACCCACCGAGCTACTTCCGCCAAGCACAAACCAGAGGGAACAGCAAAAAGAACCAATAATTTGTCCGACCCCATCATGACAACTGCTGAGATTTGCCATATGTCCTTCTGCCTTTTATACAGACATAGAATCTTGACGCCTGCGCAAACAAAAAATAGTGATTAGAGCATTGATAGGGTTGGAGGAAAGGAAAAGATATTTTTTAAATATTCATGAGCCATAAAAATTCATGAAGGCCTGAATCCTTACTCAAGACAGCTGAAACTAACTTATAAAGCAAACCATTAAAGATAAACATTTTGAATGAATGTTTAAATATTTTAAATTTTCACTATTGCAAAAATGAACAAATCAGAACCATCAAGTTGCCTGTTAAGGATCGAAATTAGAAGTAACTTGCAAATAAGCTTACCAAAACTATAATTTCCTCCTGAATAAGAAGACAGATTTTTGTAAAAAAAAGTTGATCATATGATCAAATTGTATTAGGAAAAACCAAATCCCCCTGTTAAGAAATAAAAATGATTGTATAATGCTTAAGAGCCTTTCTGTGGACGGCCGTCTACGTACGAACGAAGCGCACCGAAACTTTGCGGAAAGGTTCTACGCTCCTGTCCAAAATTATACGACACCCCGACGATTTTTGATTCGACCATCGTAAGAGAAGAGGAAAGCAGGTTACAACAAAATCAAGTATATTGAATGGAATTCTGCTTTAAATGTTCTTATCTCTTATCGCATCTCGCGTTTTCAAGTAGCTGTAAAAAGAGCACAAGATTTTGGTTTTTGTTATGTCTTGAAAGTTCAAAACAAATTTTGTTTGTATTTTGGTTTACAATTTAATTAATTTATAATAAAATGCCGCGTTGAAGATTGTTATCCAGGGATGAAGAGGGAAGGATAAAAGCCTACAACGATGATGGCTTTAATGTTAGACAAACAAAATTAATATTAGACAAAATAACGCAGAAAATCAGTCGTTTTGTTATCACCAAATTTTTGACCAATCCGGATAAATATGGTGAGAAGCGAAGTTCTGGTAGAAAACCCAAGATGTCTGACAGCGATAAAAGTCACATAATGTCAAAAGCTAGCAATTCCTTGGTATTGAGCTCCACACTTGCCGCCAGTTGTAGTAAGTCTGTGTCACGCCTTTTTGGCAGACGCTGCAATCATCTGAGTCCATTGTCAGAGTAGTCTTAAAAAGAGTACGTTCTTCAAGCCGCGCCAAAAAAAAAACAATTTCAATTTTAGAAAAATTGAATTTTAACTTTATTTTTTGTTTTTAAATTTTGGAAAGATAATATATTAATTCACAAGAGCAGAGAGACCCAGCGCTTTTTAATTGGATTGGCCAGCGTGCTTCCCTGACCAAAACCTAGTTGAAAACATATGGGGTATCCAGGCGACTATATGCGAATTGTTATTGTAATTTATATAGTAATTTGAGAATGTACAAAGCCTCAAAATCGTAATTTTGGCTCAATGGTCTCTATTAGACCAAAATTTAATTAAAAACGAGGACGGAAGCTAACTTCGGCAAGCCGAAGTTTTAATACCCTTGCAGACTTTGCCGAAATTGCTAAAAGTGAAAAAAGTAGTGAAAGGAATAAGGTATACATAAGTAAACTAGATTTGCATCGTTTCAAGTTAATTGCTTTTATACTGCAAAAATGTCATATACAAATAGAAAAAAAGGGATACTTTCGCAGCCTTAAAATTAATTAATTAATTTTTCCTATCTCCTTTAAGATATAGACTTCCGAGCGGCAAGCGCTTTTACCCTAATCAAGATATGCGTAAATAAATAAGAATTGAAAAAAATTTATGATAGTAGCTTACACACTTCGCGAAATATTCTGATAATCATCAAATTTGGACCGATTTCACCCTATTGTTCCTATGGGGGCTATAGGATATAGACGTCCGATCGGCACGCGCCTTCACCTTGATCAATGTATGCATAAAAAATACAATTTGGAAAGATTCATGTCAATAGCTTGTATACTGCGCGAAATATCCTAAAAATCATTAAATATTAACCGATTTTACCCTCTTGTTCCTATGGGAGCTATAGGATATAGACCAATATAGTCCAATCGCCACGCGCTTTTACCCTGATCAAGGTATAGCTTGTATACTGCGCGAAATATCCTAAAAATCATTAAATTTTAACCGATTTTACCCTTTTGTTCCTATGGGAGCTATAGGATATAGACGTCCGATCGTCACGCGCTTTTACCCTGATCAAGGTATGCATAAAAAAATAAGATTTGGAAAGATGCATGTCAATTGCTTTTACGCTGCGAGAAATATCTTCCATTCTTGCAAGGTATATCCGATTGTTCCTATGGGAGCTATAGGATCTAGACGTCCAATCGGGGCACTTTTCAAACTTGATCTGCGTACACTTGTTTTAGGTCGACTGTGT